TTCCAGGCAACCACCATCCTACCTTTTGTCTCTCTGAATTTGATTACTCTATGTACCTCATGTAAGCAAATCATACAGTATTTGTCCTTTTGTGACTGTTTTTTTTAACTTACCATAATGTCCTCAAGGTTCATCCATATTAAAGCTTGTGTCAGAATGCCCTTCCTCTTCAAGGCTGAATAATATTTCATTGTATGTATATATCACATTTTGTTTATCCATTCATCTGTCAATGGACAGTTGGGTTGCTTCATCTTTTGATTATTGCAAATAATACTGCTATAAGCAGGGGTATACAAACAGCTTTTCGAGTCCCTGCTTTCAGTTCTTTTGGGTATATACCCACAAGAGGAATTTCTGGATCATATAGTAATTCTTAATTTTTTGACTGCCATGCTGTTTTCCCTAGTGGCTGTACCACTTTAGCAACATCTTCTATCAGTGGCACACAGACAAAAATAAATCCCTATTTTCATGGACTTTATATGAGGGGGTGGACAAATGATATGTATGATAAATAAATTATATAACTTGTTAGTGATAATTTCCATAAAAAATAGAAACTATGTAAAAGATATTAGGAGTATATCCCATGCATAATACTTCTCAAAATTTATTATAATTGAATGTTTTCTATTTTATTGTTTCTGTTCTGTCATTCAGGGCAAGGATTAGTCTACTCTCTTGTGTATCTTTTTTACCATAAATTATAAATTAATATTTCTTAATAGCCATTTTATTTATCATCAGCTATCAATGTGACATGAGTATAATTCTCATTTCAAATGAAGAGTATGGGAATTATAAATTGCAATTCTTGTTTACTCAAGTTGTCAGGATAGATAGGAAATGGAAGAGCTGGACTTTTAATGCAACTCTCTTTTACTCCAATTCTTGGGTTTTTTGATTCACCTCTTTATCTGTCACTGCATCAGGCCTGTTCCTTTGCTCACAAAATATATTTGAGGAGCAGATAAGTATGTGAACATCATTATTGTATTTACTTTGTTTCTAAACTCTTGGTGTCTCTATTTGAGCACTTGGTTCAACCTGAGTTGCTGAGTCTTTTGAGTTTTCCAGACTCCTGCTGTCTCTGCATCCAGCATCTCTGGTCAGTGACAACAGGCAATGTGAATTACAAACAAGGAAGCTAATTATTTGGAACTGTATCAGTTATCTATTACTGTGTAATAAGGTACCTCAAAATTTAGTGGCTTAAACAACAATAAGCATTTATTATCTCAGTTTTTGTAGCGAGGAGTGACTTAACTGGATATTCTGGTTGAGATATTTCATGAAGTCGCAGTTAAGTTATTGGCAGAACTGCAGTCATCAGAAGGCTAACTGGAACTGGAGGATTTGTTTCCAAGAGGGCTGCCAAGTTAGTGTTGGCTGCTGGCGTCTCGCTAGGGCTGGTTGAGTGTCTTCTTGGCATGGTGGCTGACTTCCTTCTAAGTACATGGCTCAAAAATGTGCAAGACAGAAACCACAATGTCTTTTATGACTTAGGCCTGAAAGTCATACACTGTCATTTTTGCAATATCCTATTGGTTGTACAGATCAACTCTATTCAGTGTGGGAGGGGTGTATGAAAGACATGAATACGAGAAAACAGTGATCATTCAGGGCCACCTTGGAGGGTGGTTCCCACAGGGATCCAGTGGGAAGACCTCAGTTGAATTTGATTTGTTGTATCATAAGCCTACAGGTCCTGGCTCCACAAAGATAAGACAGATCTATGATGTGAGTTGAAAGAACCCTAAAGAGCAGGTAACTATTATGGAAAAAGACCTCCTGACCTGAGACCTTCCCCAGAAGTTGAGGAGTCCTGAGATAGAGGGAACCCTGGAATTGCTGGACCTGCACCTATCTTAACTCCTCTGCCTAGAGTGAG